GAGAGGGTGAGCCGGAGAGTTATGTGTGGGGGGGGGGGGGGGTTGGGGGGGGGGGGGCGAGAAAGACTAAGAAAAAGAAAAATGACTTCCAAGAATGTTAACATGAGAGAAAACTGATGTGCGGAGACTGAAAAAACGTCGGTATATTAAGTGAGAGGAATCTGATTTCCCGCTGAGCGAGGCAACAGCTGTCTCTTGTTACTCACTACTTTTGTCAGACAATACTACAAACTTGGCAGTCAGACTCGCTCAGTTGTGTATATATAACAATAAAGCTAATTATTTGGTTTGCTATGAAATTGACTTAAGAGGAATACTTTTAATCCAAACTTCTTAGACGAGGTGGCTGGAAATTCTCTCGAAAACACTTAAGGGACTAATCTTCGAGATAATTGTTTTTTCTTCTACCACATTTCTGGCTATCGCATTACTCCTGGTCAGGGCCACTGATGGGGGAGGGGCAAATGGGTCTGCTGTCCAGGGCCCATTGTAGAACTGGGTCATCACTAAATTATGGAAAAGGGCGTGGGGTGAAGGGGAGGGGGGGTTGGTAGAGCTCCCGATTTTTTGCAAACCCCAAGAACCTCATGATACAGAATTTCCTAAATGGATTGATGGAAGCAAATTGCATTGTTACCATCCTCAAAAAAAGCCTTGTTGGTTTCTGAAATGTTTACAAAATGTTTGAACCACGGATGCCATGCTACTCAGAATGGTCGTGGTTGCTATAGGTCAGGGCTGCCCAATAAGTAAATTGGGATCGGGGTCTACCAGTCGATCGCAAAGGGAGTGGTAGTAAAACGTGCAATCGAAATAACAAAAAAAAAAAACAAAGATTATTCTGTAGTGTGTAGAAGTGACCATGTACTACAAGGATTGAATCAAATTATGCCGTACAACTAAATGCATTTCATCAGATCCCGAGGACATAATGTGTAAATAAAGCAGTACTTCTCAAATGGTGGGGCGAGGCCCCCTGAAGGCAGGGGACTAGATGACGTTGAGAGCTTGAGAGGCTAGCTCAACAGAAGTGTGCCGCTGCTGTAATGCTTGAACGATAAACAAGCCTCCAGTCACTAGGTGGCAGCAACTCATGCAGTGGTTTGTACAGATAAGAAAATACATATTAAATAGGGATGTCCGATATTATCTTTTTGCCGATATCCGATACGCTGATATTGTCCAAACACTTAATTTCTGATTTCGATGTCAACCGATACCGATATATGCAGCCGTTTGGGCTAAAGGCAGAGGACACATTTTATTGTGTGCAGTAAGCTAATTTCGACGATAATATCGGTTGGCCAATATTATCAGACATCCCTAATATTAAAAGCTTTTCAATAGTATTGGAGGGAGATAATAATTGAGAACCAATCATATAAAGTATGTTCACTTTATATTACTAAACATATTTTAATGTTTTTGATGGAGGTAGATCACTTTAGCCTGGTCATTTGAACAGCAAAAGTGTGGACACTCCTGTTCTAGGTAGATCACTTTAGCCTGGTCATTTATATAGCAAAAGTGTGGACACTCCTGTTCCAGGTGGTTGGGCATCATGTCAAAACAAAGCTGTAACCACAGCATCGTGTCAGATGGTTGTATGGATGTTTTTAGGCTAACAAAGAAACGTGAGACTGTAGGTTTCCTCAGTGTGAGACAATGGAATGGAACAACAACAATGGAACGTGAGACTGTAGGTTTCCTCAGTGTGAGGTATCGAAATAACAATGGAATAAAAAAAAAACTGTGCTGCCAAAGTGACATGTAAAAAATAACAAGAAATTTGAGGCCAAGGCTCTTTGTGAGAATCTGGTGAGAATCATAATGGCGTGGCCATAATGATCCCCTATACACGATCCTATCGCTAAGCCCGTGGCCATCTTTAAAAAGAGTGTCTTGTTGGAGACACTGCAGTTTACCTCAAAACAGCAGTTTTAGAAGGAACATTGTATATACTGTATATATATTCGGGTTTAGAAAAATATTTGAACGCAAGCAAACATTTTTCAGTTAGAAACTCTAAAATGAGTTGTGTTTCTAATTATTATTTTTGTTGCCTCGCAGACAATTCCCTTGTCACTATTTTATGCACCTCAAGCTTGTTTAGCTGAATCAGTAGCGGTCTGTTGGTTCAACATCACACAGGAATTTGTCCTGCATCATCAAAAAGCCATTCAGGCCTTAATGAATCAAGTGACAGTGCGGGAACTGACAAAAGGCTTGCATGGGCGATGCACGGCTCCCCTGTCCTTTTCAGAGTCACCCACTTAGAGAAAAATGCTAATGAGGAATTGCGAAACAAAACAGGGGAGCAGCTCTACTTGCATTGTGGAGCCATTGTCATTCACAGGCATGTGAGGAGAAATGATTTACCAACTGCTACTAAGCAAAGCTAGGTGAAAAGTAAGTCACTGAGCGAGATCATCTTAAATCAGGCATGGGCAAACTAAGGCCAGGGGGCCGAATGTGGCCCATTTAGCTTTTTAATCTGGCCCGCCAAACTTTTCCAAATTATATAATTTATTTATATTATCATTATACTTCTGCCTTTTCCCTGCAATAGCCACATTTTCCCAATAGATGGCGTAGAAAATGATAAAAGCATTTTAGCATTTCAGCCTTTATGCATGACTTTAACATATCATTTATGTTAAAGTTCACATGAATGCTCCATCTATCTGTTCCTGTCCGGCCCCCGGCCCTGTTCAATTTTAGGACAATCGTGGCCCGCATGTCAAAAAGTTTGGCAGGAACTTTGGCAGGAATGGATATAGGCTATAGTTGTTTTTTTAATGTTCAATTCTGAAATTTCGACCAATACCAGTCCTAGGTAGTGGATCGAGTGATCCCTACTTTAGACTGGTGTTTGGATGTTAACTGAACACTAATTAAAACATGATTTGTGATGAATATACAAATTATGAAAATATAATTGATCACTTGTGTGAAGTCATACTTTTTCAAGTTGAACAATTGAGGGTGACATTTTTACCACCATTGGAAAACTACTACTAAAACTGGTTAGGCTGGTTAGAGAAATGTCTGGAAGGGTTTCAGTTATAAACTTTATGCAAAACACATATGCTGTATGCAAATTAGCCCAACTTACAACAGACCCAAAACAAAACCCATCATTCGCCACTGACTAATTCATATCAGACAGTCAACTGTTGAACAAACAAATTATTATTATAATATTTTAAAGATTAACGAATAATTAAAGATGGGTTTCACGAGATATGCTGAAATCGCTTGCCTCTAGTGGGGCATCACAATACAAGAAAAACGGCTGCATGTTTTGGTATCGGTTGATACCGATATCGGAATTGGAAATTGTTTGGACAATGTCGGCATATCGGATAACGGCAAAAAGCTAATATCGGGAAGGCCTAGTTGCAATTTCTTGTTTAATTCAAATTTTGAAATTTACTGAGTTTTATCGTTACAAATTGACAAGTAAACAAAGGACTTTTAAAATAAAAAATTAAACACTTAAATCCCTCTCTGTCATTTGTAAACAACAGCAGACAGGTAGACCAGAAGCACTTAAATCCCAACCCTTCCTGTCTCACCCTTAGCAGCAAGTAAACTGTAGCAATATGCAAATAAAGTCTTACCATGTGGAGAATGATGTCACTGATAAGCATAACATGGTGTTTGCTTTGAAGCGCGCCTAAATCACCATCTGTGTTGTAGGCATAAAGGCACACCCAAAATATATTACGTAAATGCTCCCATTCAGAGTAGGAGACTGAAGCTTAGGAAGCAACAAAGCTGCAGGAGAAGGAACCAAGGCCCAGTTGCACAGTGGGGAGTGGAGACCTGCAATTATACAAGCTGGCGGAAGCTACCACCTCTCCCTCTGTCACACAAAAACATTTGCTTGTGAGAGAGAATATCACCTTTCTATAGTTATTGTGAACAGCCCAAGTGTGTGGTTTCTTTTATATGGAGCACTGGGAATGATGTCCAGCTGGGTAGACTCACAAAAGCCATTCTGATAGTATCCATGCAATTGGCAGAGGAAAACCTATGGAAAGATGGAGAATTTACAGAGAAGGACGGAAAAACCTGAGAGCCTCCAGGGTTGACTTGATAGGTTGCAAAGATATGTCTTTGAAAGTGTGTAAATATAAAACAAAAATTCAGAAAACCTGCTTTAGCAAGCCAAATCCAACCTCGTTTTGTCTTGTCCGTCTTGGAGAAGTGACTGAAAAGTAACATTCTGGAAGGTTCTGGAAGGTTTGTGTATTAAAGAAGTATTAACCAAAGACTAACCCTTGCTTGACACCAGTATGCTATTAAGGCAACAATGGCCACAGACAAAACAAACAAAAAACAACAGCTTTATAGCAGTAGTTAGAGACAATAGCTGAACTCAGACCAAGCGCCGAGGCAGTTAGCCACAACCGCATTAGACACAGCTTGTCATATAACTTTATTTCCGGTGTGTTTAAATTAGTTCAAATTATTATTATTGTTATTATTAAAAATGTAATTATTGTTATTATTATTATTATTAAAAATGTAAAAAAAGGGTGCATTGTATATCATTAAAGTCTACAGAAGAAACAACTGAACCTCATAGTTTTACTTTTCAACTACTTAAGTCCAAATATTAAAAAAAATCTTTGTGTTTAGCAAGACGTTACTTAAATATTATCTGTACGAGTTGCACTATTTCTAGTTCCAGTAAACGCAACACTACAATCGATCATTAACCCCCTTTATTCCCGCCCACTAATGGAGAAGCGCCTGTGATTGGCCGGATGTCAGTTGGCAGCCGTCACTGTTCGCAGCACCCATTCATCTCTACACTTGGGCGTTGGACTCGGCATCTAATGAGCAACAAGGGAGATTTCTCCATTTTGCAGGCTCCCCACAGCCACACCGACACCGTTTTGGGATTTTAGGGACCTAAGTCTTCATCTGTCTTCTTAGAAAAAGAAGAATAACCAGCAGCAGCAACACCCTACTCTTTTGGAAAGCGGACTTTGTTTCACATTTCTTCCCGTGAACCTCTTTTCTTTGCACAGTCAGCGGGAGGAAGCAGGGGAGAGCTGCGCCTTTTAACAAAGAAGCATTTGGGACTTCCTTTGTTTGCCTTTTAGGGGGATCGGAGCTTCTTTGTTGGAGCCGAAAAAGCAAAAAAGAAAAAAGAAAAAAAAAAGGCAATGGGGGCGCATTTGTCTAAGACAATTGGGAATGCTGAAACCGCCGTGGAAAAGCCCGGGGAGCCTGTTGCTTCACCCGCCAAGACCAACGGACAGGTAAATGATATTTAAACATCTATCCCTCCATTCAGGGGATTCAGGCAGAGCGGTGTGTGTGTATGTTTGTGGGTGCAAGGAGTGTAATCCGCGCGAGCTGTTGTTGAAGGCTTTAATAACGAGTGTGAAAACTTAATTGAATGACACGAATGGGATGGGTGACGTTAATGGTTGTTTTGCGGTCTAAAATAAGCCGCTTCTCGTTACGTTTGGTCAGTTCGAGGGCAGAACAGCTGCGCTACGGATGTGCAGAAGAAACAAAATCTCAAATATTAGCATAGCTATCGTTTAAATTACAGAGGGAGGAAAATGGTGTGGAGGAAAAAAAAGGACGCAGCTTTTGTTGCTGCGACCGCCGCTACTTCAGAGAAACCAAGCGGTTCATTGGTGAACTGCCGATATATTGTATTTGTTCTCGTCAAATAAATCAATACTTTCACCAGTCATTTTGACTAGAGCCGCGGAAGCCTGCGCATCGTCCAGGGGATTTCTGTGTTGACAGTGAAAGTGGCGGTGGACTCAGCAGCAGAGGCCAGTGAAGAAAGCCCATAAACAGTAGTTTGGGTTTATTATTACTACTATTAGCAGTAGAAGATGTGGTGGAATGTTTTGTAGCTTGCTGTTTTGATAGAATAATTCAAAAAGGTTGTAATTTTTGGGGTTTTCTTTCGTTTTTCATGTGAAACCCGGCGTGCAGGACTAATGAGCATCTGCTGCTTTAATGAGCAGCTGCTGCGCGGCTTATGCCGCGTCTCCACACTGACCCCTAGCGTTCCATACCAAGCACTGCGCTCACAGTTCTTGGAAAACTTAATTTGGGGAACCATGCGTTAGAACACAAAACACAAACTTAAAAAAAGTAATAATCTTAGTTGGTTTAGTTTAGTAGTTAATTCAGAAAAAAATATTTTCAACAAATCATTTTACATGATTTGGCGATAGCTAAAGAATAGCATATGCCAGGCATGGGCAAACTAAGGCCGGATCAGTCAATTCAGGTTTTTAATCTGCGCTGTGAAATTTTTTTTCCAAATTATAGAATTTATTTATGTTATCATTATACTTCTGCCTAGTCCCTGCAATACCCATGTTTCCCCAATAGATGGCGAAGAAAATGATAAAAGCATTTTAGCCTTTGTGCATGACTTTTACATGTCATTTATCTTACTTTACACGAACGCTCCATCCATCTGCTCCTGACCCGGGCCCTACTACTAATACTGCAGAGAATTCTGGGGGATGTCTGTCACACTAGGGCAGAACCTGCTTCTTTGTCTGAGGACTAAAATCAAGTTTGTTTTTTAAATGTTATTTCAGTTTTTGGGAAAAAAATATCTTAAAACTTTATGATTTTTGACCCTGGCAACTGCTGTTTCCATGGCAACAGTGATGCTCTGTTTGGTCAGTGGCTAGTGTGTGCCATCTCTGGTGTTCGTGTCCAGCTGTGATCCCGCGTTGACCACCACCATGTCTGTCTTTTAGGAGAATGGCCACGTAAAAGCGAACGGAGATGCCCCTCAAGCAGCATCCGAGAATGGCAAAGAGGAGACGCACGCTAACGGCAGTGCCAGTGCGGAGGAGAGCGTCAAGCAGGAGGAAGTTGAGAAGGTTCAGACTGCTGCTGACGACACGGAGAAAGTAAACGGAGACGCAGCATCTTCTGTCCCTGCTGAGGAAGATGCGACGAAAGCGGAGGACTGTGCAACGCCTTCCGCCAGCAATGACACCCCCAAGAAAAAGAAGAAACGATTCTCCTTCAAGAAGTCCTTCAAGCTCAGTGGTTTCTCTTTCAAGAAGAACAAAAAGGAGACGGGAGAAGCGTCCGAAAACAATGAGGAGGCCAAGGAGCAAAGCACAGAGGGCGAAACGGCCGCTCAGAGTGATGAGGCCCAGCATGCTGAGGAGGGCGCTGCACCTGTTGCGGAGCAGAATAAAGAGGAAGAGGTAGAGGCCAAACCAGAGGCGACTGTTGAGAAACCTGTCCAGGAGGCTGCACCAGTGGAAAAGCCAAAGGAGGAGGAGAAGCCAGCTGAGCCCATATCGGAGGAGGCGCCGAAAACGGAGGAGGCGCCGAAAGCGGAGGAAGCGCCGAAAGCGGAGGAGGCGCCGAAAGCTGAGGAGGCGCCGAAATCAGAGGAGGCGCCGAAATCAGAGGAGGCACCAAAAGCGGAGGAGGCACCAAAACTAGAGGAAACAGCGCCTGCCTCACAGGAAGCAGCCGTTGAGGCAGCTGAATAAATTTGGGGTGACGGTGAAAATTCAATGTTGCCGAGGGCCAAAAAAAAAAAAAGAGAGGAAAAAGATAATCAAATTCCATTTCCATTTTTGTTTGTGGAAAAATGCCAGATCATGGCTCTGAAGACCCTGCTAACAACCAGGGATATTTTTTAAAGCTTTTAATAATGTTTTTCTCCCCAAGTTGCCCTGTTTTTTTTATTATTTTTTTTTTTACAAAACTCCCCTCAGTCTATTTGGTACGAGGTGGGTGGCTTCAAATATGAACAACCGATGCAAAAATACATACCGTACACCCTGCCATGTTTCTTTCAGTATTCATTTTGTGTGAGGATTTTTATACTGAATTTTGACAAACGGTTGTGGACACGCCCGTAGTATGAGGGGATAGGGATCAAGTTGTAAATTAAAAGGGTGATAAGATGGGGGAGGGGAGGGTAGGGTGGCTTTGATTAATGTTAGATAGTAGGAGGAAAAAAAAAAAGGGCAAAGATCAATGCCCTACAAACCACACCATCCCTAAGGTGCGGTGTTTTGAAACCAGTTCCATGATTCTATAGTATTTTTTTAGAATGAGATATAAAAATTGTAGGGGCATTTAAAAAAAAAACAAAAACAAAAAAAAAAGTTGCATTAGCTTTTTGCCAATCAGCGATTTAAGTAGAAATGCAAGTTGTATAGCCTTACGGTGTAACATCGGTTTTATGACCTTATTAAAATGTAAGTAATGTATAGGCGACTATTGTACAAAATGAACGTTGGAGCTGAAAAAGCACATTACATTTTTAGCTCTTCTGATTGTTTGTTTGCTTTTTTTTTTTTCTCTCACTCGCTTATTTTTGTAAGATGAGAACCAACATACGTAAAAAGAAAAAAAAAAAAAATGCCACTCTCGAAGATCACGGTGAGCCATTGTAAAACTCAACGATCAAGCTGTGATAAATTGTTATTTCCATACTGCGTTGGGTTTGTTTTCTAACAGCAATGTAATGTTTTCGTCCAGCAGTCTACGATGACACTTAGAAAACGTCTCAAATACAAATGTTATTGTAAGCCTCTTGTCGTTTTTTTTTTATTTTCCTTTCGAAATACTGGAGACACTCTGGCCAATTTGACCGAGAGATGGAGTATAACTTTGCTTATGACTCTGTTAAAGAAATGCTTCTAAGCTTCGCTTCGTGTGTTCTAATTTAGTGCGAGCACACCCAAAAAACAAAACAAAAAAAACAAATAAAAACAAATAAACGTTAATAACGTCTATAACGAGTCTCTTTTCTACTTGCTTTGTGTATTCACTAGTCACTAGGGGGCAGCAACTCATACAGTGGTTTGTACAGATAAAAATATACATGTTATCTGCTCTAACCCATTGCATTTGCATGCAATATAAAATGAACCAATGCAAAACACACACACACATATATACATATATATATACATATATATATACA